TTTCTACTAGCAGATGTAGGCTGTCATTGTTTCTACTAGCAGAGGTTGTCAGGCATTGTTTCTACTAGCAGATGTAGGCTGTCATTGTTTCTACTAGCAGAGGTAGGCTGGCATTGTTTCTACTAGCAGTGGTTGTCAGGCATAGTTTCTACTAGCAGAGGTGGGTTGTCATTGTTTCTACTAGCAGAGGTAGGCAGGCATTGTTTCTACTAGCAGAGGTAGGCAGGCATTGTTTCTTAGATAGAAGTTGCCTCGGCACCCCTTTTTTGTCTCCTACGCTTGTGCTTCTAATATACATGTAAGAATAATTATACGAACAAGTAAAATGGAAGTAACAATAGGTGTAATTCTACTGCATACAATACTGTGCACATTACGAGTCTATATATCCGCATGCGAATATGCCTCGTGTGTTTCTGCATTTCACCAGGTGATGGCGCCACTGCTCGATGCCGTATATGGTAGCGAGGACAAGGATAAGGTTGCTCCATTGTTGATGTCTGTGATGACTCATGTTACGCCGTATCTAAAGAATCACAGGTGAGTAGCAGCTTACATGTATACCCACATAGATAAATCTACATGTACAGATTACATGTTTAAATGTACTATTTATTTAAATACCTGTACATATATACACACTCATGTTTATATGTGTACATATATACATATACATGCACACACCTACACATATTGCTTGTACACATTACAACCCCTAGATTCCATTCCTCTAGCACCCAGCTACCATGCTGGAGTGAATATGTCAGGTGCATGCATGTGTACATGTATGTGATACATTAACGGATGCATGTAGGTTGTCTCAGCAGTGCGTGCGCGTTATACATTAACGTGCATGCATATATAACATTACGTAACCTATTATATGTAACAGCGTGCACAACGTACCCGGCTACCGCGCAGGAGTGTGCGTCTATGTGTGCGTATAGCGAATACACAATGCACACGTATGCAATACATTAACCCTCGTGCGCGTACGTACATTGAAGCGCGCACAACGTACCCGGCTACCATGGGGGAGTGTGCGTACATGTGTACATATAGCGAATACATGATGCACACTTATGTAATACATTAACACACGTACGTACGTAACAGCGCGCATAACGTACCCGGCTACCATGGGGGAGTGTGCGTACATGTGTGCGTATAGTGAATACATGATGCACACTTATGTAATACATTAACACACGTACGTACGTAACAGCGCGCATAACGTACCCGGCTACCACGTGTGCATCGAGTATTTGCTATACGCACACATACACGCACACTCCTGCACATATGTAATACGTTAACGTATGTAATACATTAACGCGCGCGTGTACATACGTACGTTGCAGCGCGCACAACGCTCCGAGCTACCGCGCGTGCTCGCGTCTGCTGGCCAGCGTCAGCGAATACCAGTACACGCGGCGCGCGTGGCGACGAGAGGTCTTCGAACTGCTGCTGGAGCCAGCGTTCTTCCAGACGGATGCGGCGTGCCTGCACTGCTGGCGCGGGGTAGTGGACCACCTCATGACCCAGGATAAAACCACCTTCAAAGACCTCATGGGTGAGTGAGGGTGTGGGTGGGTGCGCGAAGGAGGGAGGGTGGGGGGCAGGGGGAGGAGGGGAGGGTGGGGGGCGAGGGGGAGGAGGGAGGAGGTGGGGGGTAGGGGGAGGGGGAGGGGTGGGGGCGTTCGACGTGGCTTGGGTGGGGGGTCGGTGGANGAGAGAGAGAGAGAGAGAGAGAGAGAGACGCCCTCTGTGGTCGGGTTCGTGCGTCGTCGCCGCTGCCGACTCTCGCTCGCCGCATCTGTCGCCGCGGCGACCGCGTCTCGCGCGCCATGGTCGGCATTGTGAAGCGAAGCTACAAGGGGAAGTGCGTCGAGCCGGTGACCGGTTGCCGGGATCCGGGAAGCAGCGACGAAGAGGAGGAGGAGGAGGAGGAGGAGGAGGACTGGAAGAGGCTGGGAGGAGAGTCGGAGGATGAGTCTGGATCGGGGCGTGGCGAGATGCTTCTGACGCTGACCAGGTAATGAGGTGGAGGAGGAGGAGGAGGAGGAGGA